TGCGTGTTTTCAGGCAAGTGGCACATGGTTGTGATCTTATACACATCTAGATGTGTATAAGAGACAGTATATACACTCTGTGTGTGAGAGAGAGAGAGAGAGAGAGAGAGAGAGAGAGAGAGAGAGAGAGAGAGAGAGAGAGAGAGAGAGAGAGAGAGAGAGAGAGGATCGTGAGGAATCTATGCACGACTGCGAGGGTGGGGAGTCTGAACAGTACTATGAGGAGGACGACGGGGGCGATGGAGAAAACGATGATGCCTATCCTATCGTTCATGAGGATGGAAGGCAAGAAGGGTCGGCTGATGTGGAGGTCGATGAGGCAACAGGAGAGCGGTCGGAGGGCAGTGCGCGGAAAAGAAAGGAAGCGACAATCTTCAACAAGTCCAACGGCGGGGGCGGATAAGCGCGCTGTGAAGAAACTCACTGTCGCTGCATCTCGACAGGCACTCAGAGCTTCTCAAGAGGCGGTCGCTGAAAGCGTGAAGAAACGAAAAGGGTCGGAGTAAACCAGGACGACAAAAGCGGAGAAACGTCCACCGAAAAGAAAGCAGATGGTTGATGAGGGTGACTCTGGAGAGGATGTCGAAGGGGTTCCTCCAAGAGCTTTGTCGGGACAGACACAACCTTTCGCCAACACCCGTGATGAAGCCATCGATACAACACGGTGGTTCTTCTTGGAGTTCGATGAAGATGGGTTTCCGAAGAAAAACGGGAACACATTGAAGTGGATGTCACGAAGATCTTGCCAATTCCTGAAGGTGAAATCCTCTTCAACCATAGAACATTGGACGAAACGTTGGTGCAGTCCGTATATGATGCGATCCATAATGCGGCCAAGGAAACCAACGGGAAGTGGGATATCATGACTTTCATCCTGGCTTCCATTGTGCCCAACAGGGACAGGTCTCAAGGCAGACAGATCACACCGAAGTAATTCGACGTCGAACTAGCTCATACATACAACTGGTATGCTGTTGCTGGCCAGCACACGGCTGAGGCAATGAACAGACTCATTAAGGACAAGTCAACGGCCGAGAAAGTGTATGGCTTGAGGTCATACTCTCACGTACGTGTTGTCTACTTTGACGATGACACATAGAGAGGATATCCGTACGTCTCGACGTTCGACAACACGAAGGAGGAGCATTCCATCCCGAGATCGTTTTCATCATCTGTGCGGCAAATCAGAACATTTCCCTATACTACTACAGGAAAAGGCGGTCCTCGCGTGGGGCCCAGCAGAAACCGGGTGCCCCCACGCAGGACCGGTAACAGCCAACGGCCAAGGGGGAACCGGTGGAGCCAACTGAGGGACGGGCGGGGCCAGGTATGACGCACCCCGACGTGAAACGACGCAGGGGAAAAAAGGGCAGGGTCGGTGACAGGCAGTGTCGAAGGGAAAACCAGTAGAAGAGGTGTCGAGGGCCGGAGAAGCGCAAGGGGAGGGGGCAATGAGGACGCAGTCGTGGACGTGGAGCGTCTCGCGCGTCGCGAATACGCAGCAGAAACGAGGGCACGGCAACAGAAACTGGGTGCGGGCGAAACAAGTGAACCCCTGCCCCGCGCGGGCAGAAGAGGATCCGGTTCAACCGCGGATGAATCGGGTCCACTTGTGCTCGCATGGAGCGGGATGTGTTGAGGTGCAGGCGGAGGCAGGAAGTGGGCGACGGGAGAGAAGCACCGAAGCGATGGCATGGATGAGCGAGAGTGAGACAGGAGGGCGACGCGAGCGGGACGGAGGGAAAGGGAAATATATGCTTCTACACGTGTGTGTGTGTGTGTGTGCGTGTGTGTGTGTGTGTGTATGTGTGAGAGTGTGTGTGTGTGTGTG